AATCGAACTATGTTATATAAAAATTGCAAATAACTCAATAAAAATTTTAAAAATGAAAATATTTAATTATCAATGTACAAAAAAGAATAACCATATGGCACAGTTCTAGAAGATGAAACATAAGGGGAATTCTACCTGTGGTCATCCTAGTTTTCACTGTTCAAAAACAGATTCCAAGCAGAATCTTCCTTTCCCATTTTGTTTCTGCAAGCAGTTGTGTGAGGCAATCTTTTGACCGAAAAGCTAAGCCAAAGAATTAAAATCAGAATGCTAAGGAAAGTATGCGTGATGTCACTAACTAGCTAGACCAAACATGAATGTGTCACCTCAAGACTTATTCACACACAAGATTATAAACATTTTTACTGTTTGGGCCACTGTTGATCAGGAATATTTTGTTAATTGCAACTGGATGTATCTTAACCAGTTTTGTGAAGGAATGTATGTGTCCCTCTTTGGAATTATGAGCTTCCAAAAGGCAGTTTAAATCAGCAAGTAAGATTGAATGCCCAGGATCCAAAGGCATCATTTTGAAGCACTTAAACATATTCAGAAATCATCTGGTGATGAAATTATTTGGCTAGGGATGGAGTCTTCGTGATAACAGCAGAAAAGAGCAATGGGCCTGCTAATCCTGGGAGAGAAACAAAAGACGGCAGATTGGAAAAGAATATTCACAAATTCATTCATTTTTTGTCTCTTTGTTCAGAATTAGCTCATAATTTTATAATTAGCTGCCTAGGAAACTTCTGTTATCCAAGAAGTTCACAGAGTATTAATAATACGTACTTTACCAGCAGCAAATCTTCGGTGATTGGGAAAGAACTGAAAAAAATGGTGCATGTAGTATAAACGACTATTTACAGAGGTCATTTGTACCACCCTCCCACATGATGTACATGTAGTATAAATGACTATTTACAGAGGTCATTTGTACCACCCTCCCACATGATGTGCATGGAACCACCACCATTTTCCCCATAATTTTGTAAAGTGTTCATTTGTCCACATTACCTCTTATTACAAAATACTTCCCCAAACATTTTCCCAAGTATAAGTCTTAATTTATTATTAAATACTCTAATACTGACAATTTTACATAATATTCATTAAAAATATAGACTTGGCAGAAGAATCATTCAATGCTTTTTTGAAGGAACCACAGTATCCTTAAAATCAGAGTAGGCAGGGTACAGCAAATAAAACACAGACATTTGGACATGAGACAAAAATCTCCAAAACAGTTCTCACAGCAACACAGCAAAGCACTATTAACCATACAGGGAGTTTCCTCAGTGTGTTTTGGCTCCACTGACCCATTTCCAGAAAGAGACGCACTCTGGATCTGTGACTTCCGTTTAATTGCTCAGATCAGTTACTTGGGTTCTTTCATGCTCAGGTGAGTAATTATGGTACATATAATGCAAGGATTTGGCTTATTTTATACAGTGAAAAGACAGAACCACAAGGGCTGGAAGAGATGATAGCAACTGAGAAGAGAGGTTCTGTGTCACAGGGTACTTGTGACACAATGGGCAACACAGCTTAGTCACAAATGAGCAAGAGGGAATCCAAGGCAGAATGCTTGAGTAAAATCTTCAGTGGAAGAAATAGTGGTGGGAAATAATCCTTACACTGTTCTAGATAATGGGAAACACTTTTTAAAAATAGTTTATTTATTAATTTTTATTTTACGTGTATGAGTGTATCGCCTGCACGTATGTGAGTGCACCTGTGTCATGCAATGCCACGGAGGTCAAAAGAGGGCTTCGGATTCCCCTGGAACTGGAGTTAAGGACAGTTTGTAGCCACCATGTAGGTGCTGGGAATTGAACCCAGGTCCTTCGCAAGAGCAGTCAGTGCTCTTAACCACTGAGCTATGTCTTTTAAAACTACATCATAGGTTCTAATATAATTTTTTTGTTTGGAGTAAACTACTTTCAAAAACACTTGCACATGAAAGCTCTTGAAATTTTATACTTAACAGAGCATTGTCATTAGAAAAGATGGTTACAACCCTTAGAAATTCTGATTATCTAATCCTTCAGCAGTTAACTTTCATAGAAACATGTAGAAAACTAAGTGACTAAACATGTTCCAGGCTCCTCATGATTCAACATACTATGTTTAAGTGGCTAAGCCTTACAGAAAGAAAGGTTCATAGCATCATTATTGTTTTTAAAACTTAAAGTTTATTTTGAAATGAAGGTTGTTTTTCTCTTAAAATTCTTAAACAATAACTACAAAAGTAATCTTGGGGTTTGGAAATCTACTGGTTAACGTATGAAATTTTGAATTAAATTATCTGGTGATGGAATTATTTGGCTAGGGATGGAATCTTTCAAGTAATTGATGTTAGGTTATCACATCACATTCATTAGGCTGGCTTATCATAATGCTAAAAAATACCTTCATGTTAACATTTTCCAACTTGTTTAGAGTCTCTTTCTTCCCAAGTTAGAATACACATACAGAAGATATATAACAATTGACTTGAAAATTTTTCCCTTTTTAAGTGTCTCTCCAGAGTTTTTATATCTAATTGAATATTTATTCTCAAAATAGTCACCTACATGGCCATCTCAACAACTGTAAAGACCCAAGAACTAATACGATAAGGACATGTAAGTTTAAGTAAAGATTCTATGCTTTGAAGGGCCTTTAAGCAAGTGGCTGACAAGGGGACATAAATGCATCTAGAACTTCTTTGATAATTACATCTCTAGACTTTTAAAGCTTTTATTTTAAAATCCACATTAATGGAAAAGCTTTGTGGTTTGAGGTACATTTGATTAGTGAAAACATTCAACAATCATTTTAAGTAAATCTTGGGACTAAGAGATGGGATCTAGCAGGATAAGGACACTTAGAGAAATACAGGTGTGCCTAAGATATAGCAAGTCTGACATTCTCATGGTTCTGAAGGCAATCCCAGAAAGACTTGAACATGAACAACTCTAAGATAGTGAGATGGGCAAACCTACCCCAAAGTAAATGCTCAGTAGAATGCTCATGTGAATGTGGGAAAACTGGCATGCTAAATTTCTGCTTATCTAGCTGGATTCATACATTCATGGCAAGGTTACACAATATTTTAATGTAATTGGGGGGAATATCTGATGACCTTATTCTTATCTAAAGTGAATAAAACTTTATTTTCCCCTCTGTAAAAATCAAGGCTCAATCTACAGAATTTCTAGAAAGTTCTTTAGCGCTCTCATTGAGTAATTCTATAAATAAATAGATCCATCATTTTTTGCATATCTTCAAACACTCTTATTAGTATTTCACGGTGATTGTCTCAAACAATCACAAGTAAGGAAACTCATGCTTTAGGCTGAAAACACAAGGTGTATAGCTGCCAGAGGATCTCTCTCTCTCTCTATCTCTCTTCCTCTTTCCCTCCCTCCCTCCCTCTTGCCACCTTCTCCCTTCCTCCTTCCCTCTCCTGTAGCACACATATGGGCATACACACACACACACTCACACACACACACACACACACACACACACACACACACTCCTCTGTCCCATCAGCTGTAAACTATCTGTCCCCCAAACAGGGACAATTACAGAAGTCAAAATAGTAGTTCACATTCATGTGAAAACATTCTATATGGTACACAGAATAATGCTGTTTTTCCAAATCTGTCAACTTTCCACTAAGTAGCTACAACTTTAAAAGCAGAAGAAGTGCCTTCGAATGCAAGTATGACGGCGGGCTGCAGAAGGTCCTGTTTCCGGTTGTGTCCAAAATATCTTATTCTGTACTTTCCAAGCTGGGCAGTAGCTGGGATATGCCATTCTATTGTTGCATTGCTCAGACCCAGCAATCCTTTGTGCCAATAAAACCTATTGAGAGAAAACAAACAAGACACAATTTTACTCTTAAAAATGTGTGATTTTTTTTTTCATTTACTATTTGAGGACCATCTACAATGAGCAACCATACAGCAATAAACAATAGACATAAACACCTATTTTCTAGAAGAACTATTTTTAATAGGAATGGCTATTTGTGAAAATATCTTTCCATGCTCTACATTTTAGAATTATAAAAGGAATAAATGCAATGGATCAAGAAAACAGAAGCTTATGTTAAGTCCACAAGGATGTGGAAGAAGAAACAGAGAACACATAATGTTCACCGCAGCATGAACATGGTATAGCCAAGGAACAGAGGAAAGTTCACAGATATAAGTGGAGCAAACTGAGGAAGAATGCCTGAGGTGAGAGAAATGCACAGAGGAAGATCAGTTTGGCCCCTGAAGACCATGGACTTCAAGGTACAGTGAGACATGACAGGCTAAGAAACTAATATCTCAGCTATGTGGAAAGTACACCCATGGGTAAAGAGGCTGTGCTCAGTATCCTGTGCTTATCAGTGATATTTTCTGACATTGTTGCTGAACAAGGCAGAGGTCTAAACATCGTCAATATTGAATGCCTTATTGAATTTAGGTTTTGTTTGTTCTGTATTTTTTTAATTATGTGTGTGTGTGTGTGTGTGTGTGTATGTGTGTGTGTGTATGGGTATGTATACATGAGTGCAGGCACCCTCCAAGGCCAAATAACATCAAATCTCCTGGGACTGGAGTTGCAGGTGGTTGTAAGCTTCCCCGTGTGGGTGCTGGGACTGAACTTGGGTCCTCTGCAAGAGTAGTATAAGCTCTTAATCATTGAGCAATCATCTCTCCAGCCCTGAATCTTAGCTTTTGAAAGGGAATCATACTTTTCATCATCAGAATAAACACTTTTGCAATAAATATGTATTACCTGTGAAAAGAAAAATCATCACCAGGCATGATGGCACACGTCTTTAATCTCAGCACTCCAGGCACAGAGACAGGTGGATCTTTGTGAGCTCAAGGCCAGCCTGGTCTACATATCGAGTTCTGGGCTAGCTGGGGCTACAAGGAGACCCTGTCTCAAGAAGACAGAAGAAGAAGGAGGCGGAGGAGGAGGAGGAGGAGGAGGAGGAGGAGGAGGAGGAGGAGGAGGAGACCTAACCTCTTCCTTAGAGCAAAGAAAACTCTGCCTGTACTGATCTGATACATGGCTATTAGGTGGAGCACAATGTTGTCAAATCATTACTCTCAATTAACCATATGAACTACACTGATAGGCAAAGAGTATTTTGCTTGATACAATCTCAGTTAGATTAAAATTGCCAGAAACCTTACCAACTACTTTGATGTTTTCTGTGGTATGAGATTTAAAGATTCAGAGCATAAATCTTTTCTTATTTCAGACACATCCAAATTCTCAAAATATTTAACTGAGGAATATGGTAACAAAAAGCACAGAGATGTATTTCCTTGAGAAAACTCCATGAGCTTAACATCTCTTTGCTTGAGTCTTCAGGAGTTAAGTATCAGCCCCTCTCTATTTTATAACTCAAAGGAGAATCACAAGCTATATACAAATGCACACTGCATGCAGGGAAAGGACAGTTTTCCTAATAAGGAACGCTGAACTCCACAAAACCATTTCAACTTTTCATCCAAAATTCTTCTCAATGAATGTGAAAAAGAGCTGATCAGAATTTTCAAGGTAATACGTGAGACCATATGTTTGACCAGGAGAAAAACAATGTTAAAAATATCTCTTTAAGAACAGAACTTGGATAGACCCATATCTCAGTGGTATAGTACTTGCCTGGTATTCACTGGTCTCTGGGTACTATCTATCCCCAGCACCATTAAAACAAGGTAAAACAATGGCAGCCAAAACCTCACTAGTGCCTAATCCTATGAAAGCCCACACTCTGCTGCTTTTAGAAAACAAGAGTCAAAATGAAGCCTAGTAAATCAACTAAATAAGGCCAGAAGGATTCTTAAGAATTTAGTGTCATTAATACTATGTATTGGGCAGTCTTCTCATTTTTCCTCCCTGCATTATGAAGCAACTGTTTTTCAAGGCTTGACAGACAAAATATTCAACAAGCATGCTTACCTTGTCTCCCAGGAGGCATCATTATACATTATCTGCCAGTCGGCTATAGTGTCCTCATATCTCTCCACAGTGAGGAAGGTCTCATGGGTCTGAAATACATTTAATACCAATTAACTGGCATGATACTGTTTCAGAGAGATCCTGTCTGCACTGGCTCCCCTCAGCTACAAGCCAATCTACCAATGCCTAGTGTGAGCATGTACTAATATTTTACCCAAATCCTTAGGTATATCCCTTAACATTCTATGAGTATCTTCAGAATATTTGTTACCCCTTTTAAAAATTGTAACAGTTTTGGATATTTGAAAGAATCATAACTTTACACTTGACAGCAAATTTTGGAAATTAGGGCTAAGAAGAAACTACCAAAAATTGAGACTTAAAAGACATAGTCAAGACATAATTGAAGACACAAGATCAATATTCCAAGACTTTCTCTAGTGACCACATGATTTAGGAGGGAAACTGGGGACTTTCTTCATCTCTCTCTATCTCTAGGTAAACGAATTATTAGTTTCTGTACCTCCCTGAGGCAAAGAGATGAAAAGAATGCATAAATCTTCCCTGTCCTCAGGTTTTAAAGGGATTTCCTATACTTTGTGATAATAGATTCCTAGAAACCATATCATAAGCAGAATTTATTTCTTCATTGGAAGATAGCTATAATGGAGCAATTTATTTCAGATCAAGAATTCAGCTTCAAATAAAACATAGATTTGAATAATATGACAAGCTAATAAATAAAAAGCCATAAGTATCCAACTTCCCTCAATATCTTTCAGACTGCAGTCTTTAAAGGTAGGACTTGTGGGGCTGGAGAGATGGCTCAGTCCATAAAACAGCTTGCTGTGCCAACATGAAGACTGACCGTAGTACCCATATGTGCTTGGAGGTGCCTATAATACCAGGGCTGGAGAAGAGACAGGTAGATCCCTGGAGCCCACTGGTCAGCCATCCTAGTCTATTGGAGAGCTCGATGTTCAGTGAGAGAACTTGTCTCAAAAACTAAGGGAGAGAGGCTGGAGAGATGGTTTCAGCAGCTGAGAGATCTGACTGCTCTTGCAGAGGACCCAGGTTCAAGTCCCAGCACCCGCATGGCAGGTAACAACTATTCATAATTCCAGTCCCACGGGATCTGACACTAGAAATTGTTTTGCACCAAGCTTCAGAGTATGCTGAGAGAGGAAATTTGTTCTCATCACAGCTTTCAGCATTCTGCTCTGCTGCTCACAGCAATGGTGACAGGAGCACTGTGCTCTCGGGATGGCAAACGACAGCTGAACCTGCCGCTTGACACATTTTTATATATTCAGAAAGTAGTGTTATAAACATGCAATTATGCTAGCACAGCTTGACCTCAGATAGGAGCCATCTCAAGTACGTTCACATTAACTATCCAAGTAGGAGAGAATTGTCCCCAAGCCTCATATTTGATGATGTCATATTGCTATCATGAAAGTAATGGCATTTGAATAAACAGAAAAGAGGAAGCTCATTTGGGAGAAAAGTATTTTGGCTTCTAACTGATTATGGGCCCTGGCAAGAACAACTCATAGCTGAATAAATATGTCTTCAGTCATGGGAGAAAAACAGCAACCTAACAACCACTTCCTCATTATCACTCTCTTCTGTAAATGCCTTTAAATTTTGTAGGGAGCTTGGTATGGTATTTGCAGTCTTGTTTTATTCTGTTTAGTTTTGAGGTTTTTATTTACATTTATTTATTTTAGCGTGTGTGTTACGTACATGTGTGTGAGAGTGTATAGTGTTCACGTGCCACAACACATGTGTGGATGTGAGAAAACAGCTTGTGAGAATTGGTTCTTTCTACCATGTGAGTTTCAGGAACTGAACACATACATGTTCATCAGGTTTGGCGGTGAGCCTTTACCCACTGAGCCATCTCACCAACAAATTTTGTTTAGTTTTGCAGATAAAGTATTTGTATATATCTCAGGCTAGTCTCAAACTCTTTATTTTCTAACCTCTACCTCCCAAGTTCTGGAATTGCAAGTGTGCACCACCACACAACAGTCACACAGTTTGTTTAAATTTCTATCGTTTTATTGTTTGTTTGGTAGTAAGACTATACTAAGGAAGTCATAAAAGTGTAAAGTTACTTCATTTTATTATTACACCATTATCTATAAATGTAATTTATCATATATGTCATTAAAAACAAATTTCTGAAATACTTTGCAATAAACAATTGAAATTAATTAACTCTGAAAAATAGATTTGTGGGAAAAGAGGCACTTACACTTATAAATTCTATTTCATTGACTTCTGTTTTAACATTGTACATATATTTCTTATAGTATTTTTCAGGGTTTATAAATGAACAACCTCTTAATACCAACAGTAAAGAACAGGAAAATGGCCAGTGCAAAATAACTTAAAGCAGATAGAGCAGAATGCTTAGGGCCTGCCCCCAGGGTGTGTAATCATTCCAAAACAGAAGAGGCGGACTCAGAGAAGCAAAGATGGAGGGTGCAGAAATGACCTGAAAAGAGAGGGAAGACACTTCACCTGTGTCTTTTTTCAAATGAGAATACCTTCAAATGCATGCCTTCTGGAGAGACAGTGCAACCTGACATGCATTATTTCATATATGGCTGTCCATAAAACACATTAAAAGTTTCTCATGTGTTGTTTTCCAGAATCAATTCCATATTAACTGACTCTATTGAACATTTACCCACCTCCAAAAATAAAGTGAAAAAAAGTGATACGTTTTGTCTATGTGTGATTAACCTGTAAAGTGGAGGAAAGTTTAAACTTAGTTTTAAAAAAAA